TACTGAATACTTCAAAACTAGTTTACTTGTAAAACCGAAATATAACATTTCAGATTATGCACAAGGCATTTAAAAAATGGGGGGGGGGAGGGCTTTCATAAAGCTATTACTTTATCCAAGGTTGTCAATGTGGCTGACAGGCCTCCTGTCAGTGGGCAGATTATTTAAGAAAATTAATCCATTGTGAAGTCTCCCCTCCCTATGCTAAGCAAATGTATCTTTGACTTTCAGTAGAACTATAAGCTCAAGTTCACGATGCCAGCTGCCACACTGGGGACTAACTCTCTTACTTGTTAATGTAGAAAGACTACAAGCCTTCATATTCCTAATGAAGCGAACCATTTTTTTCTGGCTTGAGACTATACCTTTTTGAAGTGTTTGTGAGATTTGAGAGAGCTCGTATATCACATTAGCATACTCCAGGGTTCAGTTCTAGACTTTTCTTTTTCATTTACAAGCATTCTCATCTATTCGCTTGGCTTTCATTATCACCTATATGCTGTTGACTCCCAAATGTAGATCTCCATCCCGGCCCTTTCCCCTGTACTCCAGAGTCACATATCCAGCTTCCTACTTAACGTCTTCACTTGGAGATCTAGCAGGCGTCTCAGCTGTAGGACATCTCAAGCCAGTCTCCTCTTCTTCCATCCTGAACTGATGCTTTCTCCCAATCCTCTCCATCTGAGTTAATAGCAACTTCAGTCTTCCAGTCGCTCAAGCAAAAACCTTGGAGTCATCTTTCATTCCTCTCTTTCTTTCACACCGTAATTCGGGACTTTCAGAAAAACGCTATTGGTTCTATCTTCAAAATCTACACAGAGTCTGACCATTTCTTATACTTCCACAGTTATCAATATCATCTCTAGCCTGGACCATTGCAGTGGACTTTGCAATTCATTTGTTAGGCCCACCATAACAAAGTACTGCAGACTGGTGGCTTAAACAACTTATTTCCTTACAATTCTGAAGGCTAGAAATCTGAGATCAGGGTATTGGCAGGGTTGTTTTCTTCTGAGGCCTCTCCTTGGCTACTAGATGGCTGTCTTCTCCCTGTGTCTTTGCATGGTATTCTTTCTGTTATATGTACATGTCTGTGTCTTGATTTCTTTTTCTTGTAGGGACTCAGGTTAAATTGGATTAGCATCCAACCTAATGATCTAATTTTAACTTAATTTCCTCTTTAAGGACCCGATCTCCAAATAAAGTCACATTCTGAGGTACTGGAGGTTAGGACTTCAGCATTTGAATTTTGGGGGGTATGCAGCTCAGCCCATAACAGGCTTCTACTTGATCTTCTCACTTTCACTCTTGTCCGTCAACATCTATTCTTCAGATGTCAACAAGAGCGATTGTCAGCTCAGAGCCTTCAAACGGCTTCTCAGCCCTTTTAGAATAAAAGCCAAAGTCCTTACTGCTGCCTATAGGACCCTGCACTATCTGCCCCTCCCCTCTCTGACATCATCTCCTATACCTCTCCCTCTCCCAACCCCCACAGCCTTGCTAGCCAATTTGCTATTCCTCAGGGCCTTTACACTGTCTTCCATCTGGAACACTCTACCCCCAGATATTCTTATGCTCCAGTGTCACTTTCCAGTGACACCATTCCTGATGAGGCTGTTTAAAATTGCATCCAACCATTTTTCCTGCTTTATTTTTCTCTATAGCATTTAGAACATTCTTTACTATTTGTTTTCTCTATTGTCTGTCTCCTGCAGTAGAATGTGTGGTTTTATACAAGGTCATTAGAGCAGAAGTTTTGTTTTGTTCACCACTGTATTTCCTGTGCTGGAATAGTTCCAGGCACATAGTAGGTGCTCACTCATTATTCGTGGAATGAACACCATATTACTCTCCATCATTACACATTCTCCTAAACGAACCCCTATCAGAATGACATGCCAGAAAATTAGAAATATGTATTATAAAGCGTCTGAGGAAAAAACACAATGGCCACAGCAATTTTTGTGAAGACCTCCTAGATAAAAAAAAAAGTAGTTTTTATTTTCCTTCCCCAATGATAGGAAGGAAACATCTGGGCTATGAAGTTGGGAGTTTATTGAATAACCAGCTAAGCTAAACTTCACATCATTTTCCATTCACTCTTTGGAACTGATAAGAGTATTCATTTTTCCACATTGGTTTAGATGACTCCTTCAGTGGAATTGGTCCCTTAATAATTCACTCAAAAATTGCTGTTTTCTTGTAGGTTGCCTGTTTCCCTCCAGGGGTACACAATGTCTTTGCCTTTTTATCAGAGGTCCCACCAGCACTATGATCTCAGCTACCGCAACAGGG